AACGAATCTAGTGAGTCAGTGATTCATGATTACCCATTCATAAAGACAGTCACTTGCTTCATTCCTGAATGAATCAGCCGTTCGAACGAATCAATTGAATGAATGATTCAGTGATAAAATCAGTGACTTGCCGCCACCTGCTGGCAGTTTTAGTTTCATTTTTAAAGTATCTTTTCAATTATTTAAATTATTTAATATTTCTATATTCAAAATGTTATATTTAAAACATTAATCTCATCATGAATTTATGGATTTAATTGCACTCATGCCACCACTGAGCCTCATTAAATGTCTGAAAGTACACCAAGCCACTTTTGTGTTCTTCTATGCCACCTCTACAAATTATTTTTTAGATTTCATTTGATTGGTAACTTATATTTCTTATTCTACTTGTTCTTATTCCTGTCGTTTTAATTACAATTTTTAAAAAGCTTATAAAATATATATTTTTTAATAATTTGACAAAAGATGACATACTTTTGATAAAGTTAGAGTCAAATATCCCCTCGTAATGGGAAGGCTACTTTTCGATAAAATTTTGTATTATTGATTAGAAGGTGCTCCTAAAATTTTGAACATGCTCCTAAATTTTTTTCAAAGAAAAGTAAGCATAGCGCCCTCTAATGTATGTTATATTTGCAGCAGCAATATTTCTTACATGCTCACAGCAGCATGTTGTGGATCACAGTAGCAAGTCTTGGTACTTGCTCTGCCGCAGCAGCAGCGTAGCAGATCTATTCCGCCAAGACCAAATACATTAACATTGTCATGTACATTACCATGCCAATCCCTCCGAGAGCTGTCATGACAGAAATACTATATGTCACCATATGCAAATATTTTTGATATGTCAAGATATTTTAAAGTAATATTTAAGAGCATACTCATTTATAATATAATCTTCAGCAAGTCAGTGTTCTGCTAATTTGATCACTTTTTCATTTTATTATTATTATTTATTTAATTTTTTTTTGTGAGAACTTGAGCATCTTTATGCTTTACTAAAAGCATTTAATGACTTTCACTTGTCTAACCTAGTTGGGTTGATTCAGTCATATTAAATAATTTCATTGACTTCAATGAAACCAGTAAATTTAACTGTTGCTACCTGAAGAATATGCTTCAGACTGACAAAACACTGTGTATTCAGTCATAATGTCAGAGAAATTCAATACTATCTCTGGACTATAATCTCTGGACTCTGCCCTGCATTTCAGTCATCCAATTTATTGTGTGTGATAAAAGTGAATTTGGCTTAACATCAGTTAACGACCTCGATTAACAACAACACGGAGGAAAAAAATTCTAAAAACATAAGAGACTGTTCAGCATACGGTGATATAGGATGGTAATTCATTCTTTCTCTCATCTGTCTGTTTCTGTGCCTTTCTATTTGAGGCAAATATTCACCAGTTTCTGTACAAAACAGTCAAAAGCAGATCTTATTGTGCAAAACAACCTTAACTGCACACATTAATACTTAAAGCATACACTGTAAAAAAAAAAAAATTAAAGCTGTTTCAACTAATTATTATTTAGTGACTAGTTCCACAGAAATTTTACATTCAGTCAATTTCTGTCTTCAAAGTGTTGCCTGAATTGTTATTTTTTTAGTTGGCTCAATCTTTACTGAAATGGTTTTGTAGTCCATTCAACTAAAATGTTTTAATTGATCAAACATTTAGAAAACTACAGCAGATTAGGTCAATTAAAATTTAACCATTTACTCCATGTGTTTCATATGTTACCTCAA